GTGCCAGCCTACAGTATGATTCAAAGGCATTTTATTATCTTGTCTCTCTCAAATCACTACAAACTGACCAAAGTAAACTGTAATCATCCTCTTAACAGGGTCTTTCAAAAGGCATAAATTTTCATCTCAAGTCTGATACCAATTTTTTAAAAAATAGGTCATACTTCTGGTGTTATGTCTAAGAATTCTTTACCAAGCCCAAGGTTCTGCAAATTTTGTTTATTCTAAAAGTTTTATATTTTACAATTAAATCTACGATCCATTTTGAATTAATTTTTGTACAAGGTGTGAAATTAAGATCAAAGTTCATTTTTTAACCTATGTTTAAGGGGATGAAAAGATAAGCTACAGACGGGGAGAAAATATTTGCAAAGCACCCATCTGACCAATGACTCACATCTAGAATATATAAAGAGACTTCAAAATTCTACAGTAAAAAAACAAACAGGGCTTCCCAGGTGGCACAGTGGTTGAGAGTCTGCCTGCCGATGCAGGGGACACGGGTACGTGCCCCGGTCCAGGAAGATCCCACATGCCGCGGAGTGGCTGGGCCCGTGAGCCATGGCCGCTGAGCCTGTGCTCTGCAACGGGAGAGGCCACAACAGTGAGAGGCCCGCGTAAAAAAAAAAGTCCAACTAGAAAGTGGGCAAAAGGACGTGAAAAATTATTTCACTATAATATTTTATTCATATTTCACTAAAATATTTTATTCATATTTCAATAGAATATTTTATTCATATTTCAATAAAATATGGATGGCAAGTAAGTAATGAAAATATTTTTGACATTACTAATCATTACAGAAATGTAAATTGAGACCATGATGAGCTATCACTATATATCTATTAGAACAGCTAAAATAAAAAATAATGACATACCAAATTGCTGGTGAGCATGCAAAGAAACTGAATCTCTCAAACATAACTGGTGGGAATGTAAAATGGTACAGCCACTTTGGAAAAGTTTGTCAGTTTCTTTAAGAATTAAACATACATTTACCATACAACCTAGCAATTGCACTATTGGGCATTTATCTCAGAGATACAAAAAGTTATGTCCACACAAAAGCCTGTACATGTTTGTTCATAGCAGGTTATAACAGCCAAAAACTGGAAATGCCCAAAATTTCTAACAGGTGAACAGTTAAGCAAACTATCTTTCAAACATCCATATTATATATCCATTCCACAGGATACTACTCAGCAGTAAAAAGGAAGAAACTACTGATACATACAACAGCTTGAATGGATCTCCAGGGCATTACACTGAGCGAGAAAAGCCAATCTCAAAAGATCACACGCTGTATGACTCCATTTATGCAACATTATAGAAAATGACAAAATCATGGAGATGGAGAAGAGATTAGTTGTCACCAGGGGTTAGAGATAGTGCATGTGGGGCAGTAGGCAGGTGTGACTATAAAGAAGTAGCATGAGGGAGATCTTGACTATGGTATTACAGAACTGTATACATATTTATACCAATATCAGTTTTGTGGTTTTGATATTGTACTATAGTTATATAAAATGTGACCAAACACGGGAACTGGGTACAGTATACACAGGGATCTCTCTGTACTATCTTTGCAGCTTTCTGTGAATCTGTCATTATCTCAAAATAAAACGTTTAAAAAAATGCAATCAATGTAAAATCACCCAAAAGTTTGGGAAACATGGGAAAATTTATAAATTTGTTGAAAACAGTGTTGTTGTAATGCTAAATGCATTACAGGGATGGGGTGATCATGGTGTAGCCTAGAAAGACACCTGGAGATTTTGTCCAACTCCTCCAAATAAATAGTTCAATCAAATATTTATTGAGAATCTAATATATGAAAGACATAGTGCTATAAAAAGTAGTTGGGTTAAAAGAAGAAAAGGTCAAGCACTTACCTCTGAATTAATTTACTCTCTAAGAAGATAAAACAGACTAATTATTAAAAGCCTCAGGGCCACTGCAAAAGCAGTTTCCTTTGCCTGGAATGTTCTTCTGTTTTTCTAGTTAGTTCTTACTTGTCCTTGAACTCTAGCTCATTGTCACTTCTTTAGGGAAACCTTCCCTAGCTCTCTTTGCTCTCCATATTAGAACACGTTCCCCTATTACATGCTTGTACAGCACCCTATATTTTTCATTCATAACACTAATCACCATTCACAAAAAACTGTGTGACATTTTGATGTCTATTTTCTCCATTAGGCTAATCTCCAAGAAGGCAAAGACAGTCTAGGTAGCTCACCACTGTATTCCCAAACCCAATGCCATGCCTGGCAAATGACAGAAGCTCAAAATATGTTACATGAATAAACCTATACAAAGCTCTAATTCATATGTGCAAATGAGCAGGCAGACAACAAGAGTTACTGGGTTTTGTAAGAACCCAAGATCACTTCAACTTGAGAAAGCCAGTTTATATGGGATAGGAGGTTCATGCAGAGGATAAAGAATCTTATATCCAAAGCTGAATATGAACATCAGCCTTTCAGCAACAGGAACCCACTGAAGAATTGAAACAGGGAACCGGTGCATCCGATGTGCTGTATAGGGAAATAAATGCAGAGAACTGAATTCAACTAAGAGGATAAGACACTAGAGGCAGTAAAAATAACTGCAAGGAACTGTGGTAATGCAGGCACAAAATGATAAGTTCCGGAATGAGAGGGTGGTCATGGGAAAAGACAGATGTGAGAAACACTGAGAATGAAGAGCCAACAGAACTTAAGAACTGATTAGCTATAGGGGCATGAAAGGGGGAAGAGTCAATGATGAGTCAAGTGGTTTAACAGTGGGTGATCCATGAAAGATACCATTAACAGAAATGAGAAGTCAGGACTAAGTTCTCTTAGGAGAAGGAATGTGCTTTGTTGGAAAGTGATGGGTAACATCCACACAACTGAAGACGTGAGACTAGATGGAGAACAGTCAAGGCTGCCAATGTAGATGTGTGAGTTGATTACAGTTAAGGTTATAAAAATGAATGAGATCTTTCAGAGAGGAGAAGGTATAAAGGGCCTTGAATGGAAATTCTTTAAAACCATTTGATCTGCCTCTGGTGAGAATTATGTTTCTCAGGTTATGGAGTCATTCAGATGGTGAGCTTCCTGAAGGCATAGCTGAGCTCAACTGTGCACTGGGTGTTGTGCAAAATAGTAGCCTATTAAAGGAACCAATTATTTTCAAGATAATTTCTGATGATTAATTCCTGTTCCACTTGCACTTTTATTTCAAAAAGTGGTGCCCTAGGTAGAACTTTGAAAGGTACAGGCTTCACTTGAAATTATTATAATCAGTGAGTTTAGACAGTTTAAATCATTTATCCAAAGGTCTGTTTTCCCAAGGCTCCAGAACTGAAGAACTGAAAGACCAAACTTTGGGACTGTGAAAACCTTAAAAAAAAAAAAAAAAGCCCCCAATGAGACTAGGGCTAAAGCAAATGCCCACTAGAAGTAGGGAATACTCTTCAAGAAGTTTTTGAATAAAGTAAAATAGGAAATATTATTTACTGAGGGAGTGAAAAAAAAAACCCCAAAAATTTCAACTGTACACTACATGGGTTGACAACGTACAAAAACTAAAGAAGCTTCAAATGAAGGATAAGCTAGATAATTAAGGAAATTGAGAACAGTCCAGATGCATACTTAAAAAAACAACAAAAAGCTAATGAGGGAAAGTCATTGGCCTGCTCTCCCACAAAATGTTCCTAGGTGTCAGTCAGAGGTGGAGTAACAAGCTAATTCAATGCTTAGGTGAGCAGTATTTCCCCAGCTACAGTTTAAAAATAAGAAAAGGGACTATTGAAATGGATCAGAGGACAAATTTGTGTACAGCTCCCACCCCACCCCCGCCCAAATAAATCAAGGTGGAATATGCCACAATGCTCTAACTGTGAACTGCAGCAAATGTCCTAAGTGCTTCCAGATAGGTGAGTTGTGTTTGTGGGAGAAGTCAGGGAAGAGAAACCCGCTGGAGCCACAGCCTCAAGGTACCTGACAAGGCATCTATAATCCAACCATCCTCTCAACATCAGACTGACTTCCACGATAAGTCTAAAAGATGGTCAACCAGTCTTTGCCTGCTTGTTTCCAACAACAGCAAATGGACCATTGGTAAACTGACCATTCTCAGAGCTGGACAGCTCTCATTTGTTGCAAAACCCTTCTAAGTTATCTCCTAGTAACTTTCACCCCCGGTCCTTGGTTCTCTCAAGAGCAACACAGCAAAGGTGAAAGTTTTAGTTTCATTTTTAAATTTAAGCGAACAAACTAGGTATTACTTCCAGGCATGTCAATACATTCCCTTCTTTCAATAATAGGAAAATCTGATCTCTTTTTTCAACGTTTGACTCCCCGTGAAGGAAAAAGGAAGCCCAGTCACAGGTTCCTCTAGACTCCGCAGCAGAGCGGAGAAAAGGGGCTTAAATAACTACATACACTAGGAGACGTTGCAGCTGATAAGAAATTCCCGTTGCCAAGAAGCAAGCAGCTCTAGCCTGTGACCGGGTGCTGGGACGCGATAGAAGCCACACAGACCTGGCCTGGCAGCCCGAGACAGTGGGGGCCAAGAAGCCTCCGTCTCTTTTTGCCAAAGCCGCGGAGGGCTGAGTGGGCGCTCACCCCCAGGCCAGCGGCAAACCCGGCGCCTCACACGGCAAAGCGCTCGGCCCCAGGAAAGAGGCATCGGTAAGAAGGCTCGGTGAAACGCCTGGCAAAGCCCAAGCCGCGCCGCCGGGCCAGCTGCCCGTGTGTCCAACCACCCGGCCCGCCCGACGCCGTCCTGAGAACCTGCACCGGTGAGCGCTCCCGGAGTTGGAGACGTCTCGGGCTCGGCCGGGTCCCGTTTCTCCCCCCCGCCCACCCTCTCTCAACTCCCCTGCTTAGAGCTGAGCCGGAGGCCACCCCAAGGAGTGGTGCCCAGGAGGCACGCCGCGTTGGTGGTGAATGCTGCGGGCTGGGCCCGAGCTCTCGGGCAGGCGGGCAGCCAAGCGGCTGCGGCCGGTAACTCACCGAAAGGACGCTCATGCGGATTGGGGTCTCCAACAGGCACGCCATCTTGAGCCTTCCCACCCGGCTGCGGCCGGCGCCGGCGCCGGGGCCGGCACTTTCGACAGCCGACTACTGGGCCAACCACAGTTACCTCTGAAGAAAGTCAGGCAGGTAGACGAGAACGGACCACGCTCTAGACACCGCTGAAGTACGGCCAGGGCCCGCAGAGGGGAGAGCAAAGGGAAACCGCACCAGGGGCTTCCTTACGAATCGTCCTCTCAGAAACGGCAGCTACTCTCAGCCTGGGTGAGAGGTGGGAGCGCGCAGCAGTTTCCGCATGCGCAAAGAAGATCGGCCGGCCCCACCTGCGGCTCGCGGTGGGCGGAGCCTCGGGGGCGGAGCCTCGGGGGCGGAGTCTTGCTATAAGCGTCACAGATTGATTTGTTGCAATTTCTTGAGCTCGCGTACTCATTATTCCGAAAAACTGGTGTGTAGAGCCAAATACATAATTTGAAGTTCACTTTCACATTCATTATCTCACTCCTTCTTTGCACCAAACTCCTAGTGTCGTTATTATCTCCATTTTACAGATGGAGAAACTGTGATCTCAGAACCAGGGCTCCTGCCACCAGTAAGAGTGTTTCACGATCCAACGTTGAAGTGTGACCTGTTTCAGCATTATCTGCCCGACCCTTTTATTCTAGTGTAGTGTTAAGAATAGATACTCTAGAGCCAGAACGCCTGAGTTTAATCCTTGCTACTTCACAGAGCTGCATTACCTCGGCAAGTTACTTAAACTCCTATGCTTCAGTTTCCTCTTGTGCAAAATAAGGGGCTATGAAGATGGAAAATATAAAGCTCTTAGAACATGCCTGGAACGTAGAAAACGTTATATATGTGTTAGCATTTCTGCAGCCTCTGAGTCAAGCAGAAAAAAATGGAGTCAAATATCTGAATAATTCACACTAAAACCCTCTGATAATTGAGGCCAAATAAAAATATGCTTCTAATTCTATTTTCTGATTGATGAATTCAGCTCTCCCACTCCATTTGTGTGTTTGGGTGTATATGAACAAAACTGCCCTGGACTTGGCTAAACAGGTTTCAACTTCATGCTGCTCACAACCAGCAAGGTTTTCACAGGATGAGTGCAATTAACCTGTTATATTACTTGTCTTTCTCTCATTGCTATAGCCGCTCCTTAATGTAGGCTGCTATTACCTCTCCCCTGTACTAGAGCAATTGTCTTCCAACTGATGTTGTAGCTAGCCTCTCCTTCACTTTGCTCCTCATTGCTTTCCTATCTTCCCCCTGTACTTGGTTTCTGAATTTATTGTGGTACTAATCTCGCTTATGGGCCTGTGCCCCCTAACAAACTGTTGACTTTCTGGAAAGAAGTGATTTCATTGTAGATTTTCTTCCTGCTGCAGCACTGTTTCCCAAACTTCAGTACTCTGCATACCACCCACACAATCTTTGCCAATCTGCACCCAGGTATTATTATTCAATATTTTTCTTTAAAGCCAATTTCAACTGATTAAATAATTTTAGCCTCATCCTAAATCATAATACTCTGAAAAATCAAGTGTATTGTGCTCCTAATTTTTATTCTAGTACACATTAACATAACAACTACAAAAATGTTCAAATGTCCATCCGTGTATCACCTAGAATCATGTCATGCACTACATACCACAACAGAGCAGAGCATAGCCCTTACACAGAGTGTACAGAGGTATCAACTAAATTTTCAGTTGACATTTGTATGATATAGAGTTGTTGCAGCTGTATTTGATCCACATGTCATTAATTAGCCCAAGCAATACATCCTCCAGGAAGCCCCTCCCCTAAGTATAGGTTAGGTGACCCCTCCCTCATGTCTTCACACATCATTCTGTTCTTGCCTCTAACATAGCATCTCCAACAATAGACTCTAACTTTTGGGGTAATATTTTACTTGTCTGTCTCCCCGTTATACACTTCAGAGCAGGCACTAGGAATTTTATCTTCCAGGTCTTTTATCTCACTGCCTAGCATAGACTACTCACTTAGTAAATGTTTGTTGAATGAATTTTTGGCTTAGTTTGGGCACCCCCAAAGGCAGATCCTGGGACAATGATTTGGGTGCAAGTAGTTTATTTGGAAAGTGTTTCCATGCAACAGAATTGATGGATCAGCCAGAGTGAGAAAAGAAAGGAGAAAAAGTCAATATAAGGGTCCATTGTTGAAGTCACTGCCTATTCCCTAAGGACCCCTGAAAAACATACAGCATGCCCCACACCCTAGATATCCATCTTGAGGTTGGAGTATTAATCCACCACTCCCATCCTATATTAGTTGAGGGTTTCCCCTCAGCTTTTAATTCCCTACCCTCCTGGATTGTACCTGTGCACAGAACAGAGAGGGCTTCCTTAACCTGATGCAGAAAAGCAGAATCTGCAGGCTCTCCTTTGGGGTAGGATACAGGCAGCATGCACCTGAACTTGCAGCAGAACCATCATTACAGCTGTGGCTGAAATCAGAGTGAGGAGGGGCTAGGGAACATGACTCAAAGCATCCAGGCTTTTGTTTTACTTCCAGAAAACTGACATAGCCATTTTACAGGAAAGAAGCATTAATTAGCAAAGTCCTAAGCTTGGGATCAGGAATCCCATTTCTAGTTCAAATTTTGCTACTAAATAATCTTAGGTACATCCTTCAAACCTAAATAATGAGTAGAAATTGAGGGTAATGAAAAAAAATTGATTCAGCCTCCACGTAACAGCAACAACAAAACTTTGGCCCAGTGGTGTAGAGCGGGAATAGCCACATGGACTCCCCTGAAAACAGGAACGAAATTTCTCCCCATCCTCCCCTATCTCAGAGCAGTATTAATTTCTGAAAAAATAATGACAACAAAGTGTGAGTTTAATAAAGGAAAAGTAGAAATACACAATCGAAAGTAAGTAGCAAGAAAGAAATCTGAAAAGTATTTATAGATATCTAAATGGAACTGCCAGGGTAGAGAAATAAAGCCATATTTTTGAAAGTAGAAACATACCTATGCAAAAAAAAAAAAAAAAGGAAAGCTTAAAATATAGAAAGATTCAAAACAAAAACTGAGTGATCCCAAAAGGAATTTAGAAGACCCTTTAAAAGATTTGAAAACAGAAGAGATTCTTTAAATAAATTAATAAGAGAAAATAGACTAACACTGGTGCAGAGGAGATATAGTTCAGTTCAACAGACACTAACTGTGGGTTTACTGGCGCACACATTGTACTAGGGATTCAAAGTGGAATAAAGACATGGTTCCTGCCTTCAAGCAGACAAAAATGTGAGACTCTGAGAGGTTCAATAATTTGCTCTCTCGTACATAATCCCCTGGGACCTGATAGGACTCTCCCACATGGGATTACTGAGCACTCACTTAAGCAACCAGCCAGTTAAGGAAAATCTACAAGGGCTTTGCAATGGGAAATAATGCATCCATAATTCAGGTGCTTGGCAGGTGTAAAATATGTATATGCATAAAGCAGAATTAGTAAGATGTTGAAAAAGTCCTCTATTAGAAACTACAGTAAAAAAAAAAAAAGAAAATGTTCTTTTTATAACTGAATAATTGCTGTGCTCGAATTCCAACTTACAAATATAGAAGAAATGATGGAATTTGAAAACCACCCCTTGACAACCATATGAGTTATACTTGTTTGAGGCAAGAATCAACAATGGATGCTGAAACTAACTGGTGGGAATATGATGAGAAACGGAACCTCCCCACAAGTTACTAATGATAGTAGAGAAACTTGGTAGACATCACTTTATTCAAGTGATTATAATTAATATCACCACTAATGGGATAAATAGACACCATGATATGATGCACTGAAAAGGACACAACATCATTTCTGTGGTATTCCTGCCAAAAATGCATGGGTGTGATCATGAGGGAACATCAGACAAACCTTGAGAGACACAACACATCTACATCCTTCAAAACTGGCCTGAAAGACAAAGAAAAGCTGAGGAGTTGCTATAGATGAAAGGAAAATAATGTGACATGACACTTATTAAATACAACTTGTGATCTAGGATTGAATCCTGGAAAAAAACATTTTCCCTCTTGCTATACAGGACATCAAGGGGAAAGATGGCAAAATGTGAACAAATTTTGTAGATGAGGTACCATCGTTAATGTACCTATTTTGATAACTGTACTGTTGTTATAAAGAGAATACCTTTGTTCTTAGGAAACACAGAGTGAAGAATTTAAGTGTAAAAAACTGAGTCACTATGTATTAAACAATTGTTTTTCTTTAATAATGAAAAAGGGACTCATTTAGAGAATAATAATAATAAGAGGACCAAGGATCCTGGAAATTAATTCATTCAATAAAATATATTTACTAGGTACCTACTATGTGCCAGGCACAGTGCTGGGTGGTGGTGGTGTAATACAATTAACAAGAGAGATACATTCCCTGTTATCACAGAGCTTTCAAAAGAAGAGAAGAGAGGACTTCCTTGGTAGCACAGTGGTTAAGAATCCACCTGCCAATGCAGGGGACACGTGTTCGAGCCGTGGTCCGGGAAGATCCCACATGCTGCGGAGCAGCTAAGCCAGTGTGCCACAACTACTGAGCCTGTGCTCTAGAACCTGAGAGCCACAACTACTGAAGCCCACACACCTAGAGCCCGTGCTCTGCAACAAGAGAAGCCACCACAATGAGAAGCCCATGCAATGCAACGAAGAGTAGCCCCCACTCACCACAACTAGAGAAAACCCGCGTGCAGCAACGAAGACCCAACACAGCCATAAATAAATAAATAAATAAATAAATTTATTTTTTTTAAAAAAAGGGAAGAGAGACAAGAGAACAAGTCATTAGAATGTAGGATGATACGTAAAAAGGTGTGGGGCAAAGGGAACATCTATGAGGGAAACTCATCAGGACTAAAGTCACAGGAAGTCTTTCTGTTGGGGGTGGCACCCAAGCTCTGACCTGAAGTGTCAACAGGAACAGACCAGGCAAAACTCTGTGCGTTGCTCCACACAGAGCTTGGCTTGTCCATAAACATTTGTGTAATGGAACAATTAAGACATCCCCTTCTCTGCACTTAGCTGTGGAAACACTGGAAGATCTTGCAAAATCAGTGCTAGGACAAGAGCTCCGATTATTTATAGGAAAAGAGACACTATAAAATCAGCAGGTCTTCAGATGGGTTGCCATCTTCTGCATTACCTGGGTACTAAAAGACAACTCCACACCCACCCCAAGCAAAGATGACCACATTAGGCAGATGAGTTTGAAAATGGAGACGTGA